GGAAGGGGAAGGGGAAGGGGGAGGGGAGGGAAAGAAGTAGCCGAGGGGAATTTTCTTTAGTATTTTTTTTGGGTTACGAAACCTGTGTCCTCGGGGAAGAGATCCCACTGGCAAAGAGGATTGGATTGACCACCTGAATCTGGACGTGTTTGTGAAGAGATGCACGACATCGCGATTGGTCTGCTTTTATGCATAAACCTCATCCAGATACAGGCGCTTAATCCAATCCTATTTACTATTTTTGGTAGTAGGACCTTGCTCCGGGACATTGAGATTTTTTATGGCAAAAAAAAAAAAAAGCGAACTAGAAAAAAAGCTATCAGCATACGGGCAGACTGATTTCTTATTTCTTTTCTTTTCCCTTTGGCAGACCTTTTTTTTCTTGGGGCGGGGGGGGGGGGCTGTCTCTTATACACATCTAGATGTGTATAAGAGACAGGTCTACACAAATGCCCATCTTCTCATCTCACAGGAGTGAAAACCGTCCAACGCATGATTCTTCGGTGGTGACATACGGTCGTTATATAGCTGTATTTGGGGCAACTTTCAGTCCAGATACATGAAGGAGGACCGTACGATACGATACGTCTGCGGTGGTAACATACATGATTCTGCTACCGTCTTCATCCGAAGAGAACTTAACGTACGGTCATCCTTCCTGTTTTCTGGACTGAAAGTTGGCCCAAATACAGATATATAACGACCGTATGTTATATTCGCGGGAAGACAGCAGTCTTGCCGACCAACCTCCTCATCTTTTGCAAACCACCTGCACTGGAACATACGTACGATTATCCTTCCCGTATCTAGACTGAGAGTTGCCCCTAATACACAGCTATAACGACCGTATATTCTATTCTGCTACCGTCTTCGCAAACCACCACAGCTGTAGGGTCTAGTAGGTCCACGGCTCTCGAAATGTGCAGAACGAGAGTGAATCTTCTGCTAGAACATCGAAAGACACATCGCCATGATTTTTGTATTTTGTGCATGTCGAGAGTAGTGGAGCGAGGCCCATAATGACCATA